ATCTATAGATGAGCAACTGTTGTTCACAAGACACTCCCCCAGGTCAGTGTGGGACTGGAAGATGCAGGAGATGCCCAAGGAGGGAGATCCAAACCCTTCTACCTCCACCCTCTCAGCATTACCCCCACCCACAATACAGAGCCCTCAGGGTCCTCACCGGGGTTGTAGGCTGGGACCAGGAGTTGTGTCCTCTGTGGTCACGCTGGGCTGAGTGTGCACTGGTGAGGATGTGGGGTACCCCGGGGTATTTGCTCTGTTCTCGGGGCTAGAGCCTGTGACAGGAGCAAAGGATGGAAACACAGACTGTCCCAGTGACCTCCACTCCATATCCTCCCCACTGAAACCTCTACAGCTCTGCTCTACACGGGTCCCATGGGACACAGAGGACCACTGTGTGACAGCCTACAAGCCCCATGGCCCCACCAAGTCCTGGTCAGGACTTCCCTCCCCAGGCCTTCCCATGGTGCGCTGGGGCTGGTTGGCACTTTCAAACTTGAGGCCAGTCTTCCTGCAGAGGGGAGTTAAGTGTCAGTGACAAGACACTTGGTGGCAGGTCCCTTCTGGCCTCAGTGACACCTTTTGCCTCCTTGTCTTCCATCCTTCTGGGGACAGACACAGAGTGGTGGGACTCTGTCTGCCTGGCCCAGTCATTCCCACACTGTCACACAGACAGGCCACTGGACAGTCTTCTCTGAGGAATGGCCAGGTGGAAAGTTCTAGAAAGACAGATGCTTGGAGGACTCTATGGAGAGTGGCCTCTGCTGAGGGGAACTAGAGACACCAGTGGGTTTTGGTTCCACACTCCTCACTATGAACCCACAGAGGATGTTGGAAGGAATCTTATATGAGGGGGAAACAAAACTGAGAACAAAAACAGGAAGCTGGGTGTGGGGTTGGAGCTCGTAATCCCAATGCTAGAGAGGCAGAGTCAGGAAGTTAAGTCATTCAAGATGAATCCCAACTACACACTACAGTTTGTAGCCAGCCTGGGCTACACAAGACCCTCTCTCAGAAAAGATAAATACTGGGAACAACAGAGCAGTTCATCGCCTTCAGTCCCCACCCCCACCCGGCCCTTAAAGAGATGCACTAATTCGGGTTCTGTAAACAAGGGAGGCTCCATTAGGGGAGAATGACTGCAGACATGGAGAACATTGGGACCAGAGGAGCTGAGAGACTGTCTTCCATCCAGCTTCACCCTTTGCTGGGAAGGGGCACTTTTGGGGGAATCTCTGAGTTTTTTTTCCTGCAGTAAATGGTTCCTGGGAAAGGTGGATAAAGGGGAACTTGGAGTGGTTGAATGGATTTCTCAGGGATCAAGAACCCCAATATACAATCTACCCTCCTTCTTGTGTCTCTGGTTCCTCTCAGAAGCCCCAGAAACACTTTGATGAAGCTGTTACCTCAGGACCTCCATGGAAGGGAAGTGTCCACTCAGTCCCAGTTCAGAGCAGGGTTGGAGAGAGGGGAGCAGATACTCTGGGTAATGTTCCCACATGAGATGGTGACAGGACCAAATGAATCCTGGGAGAGAGGACTTGTCTGCTATCAGGACAGGAATTCACAAAGAGCCAGTGGTTCAGGGCTTGTCTCTGGCCTGAGACTGTCACATGGGACACACAGGTCAGCTGATGTGATAGCTCAGTGGATAAAGATTCTGCTTGTCAAACCTGAAGACCTGAGTTTGAGCCCCAGGACCACACAGTGGAGGGAGAACTAAGTGCCAGTTCTCAGACTGAAACACACCATGGGCTAGTTCAACTAAGTAATTAACTAACTAACTCACTATCTACCTACCTACCTAACTAACTAACTAAATAAATAAATAAATGTAATAAAAAGAGAGATTCTAAGAACTAAGTTTCCACATTGTGCCTGTGTGTACTGGCACACACATGTATTGGTGTACATACACTATCACACTTACCACACATACTCTCACAATGGCACATGTGGACTCACACTCCCTGTGTCCTGAGTCACTGATTCACCAAGCTCACCATGCTATTGTATCTGGCTTCCTTCCTTCATGAGGGAATGACTGACCTGGACTCAGGATGCCCTGACATGAAGGGAGCTTACCTGGGACCACGGACACCACAACCTTGAAGGAGTCATCGATCACCAAGGAGGGATCAGTTTCCCAGAAGGAGCCATTGATAAACGGTACGTCCACCCCACACTTGTAGGTGCCTGCATCCTCCAGGGTGAGGTTCTCCAAGGTCACTGTGAAGGTGAGGGTGGCTGGATGGTCCCTGATGGAAACTCGGCCATTCCCAGCTTCTTTTGAGGCTCTGGTCCTGACAATCTCTTTACATGATGGTAGCAGCGACACTCTGCACCAGTATTTGTTGTTCGTCTTGTATTTCTCCTCGTACTGACACCGCACACTCAGGGATTCCCCCACTGTGCCTGTCACCTTGCTGGGGCCACGCAGAGGGACACAGCCTGAAAAACACAAGCCCCAATTCTGCACCCTCACAGCTGGATGGGGGTCAGGCCCCCCTTGGTCAGCTCTTAGAGAGCTGTCTGCTCTGGAGAAAGCATCGAGAAAGGAGACAGGCTTTGTTAGACCCAGGAGTCAGGACTGAGGTGAGCGCCTGTGTTGTCCTGAAGAAGGGGCGGGCAGGGGGCTTGTCCCTGGAGAAAGAAAGAAACAACACGTGTGTGTGTGTGTGTGTGTGTGTGTGTGTGTGTGTGTGTGTGTGTGTATGTGTGTGTGAGAGAGAGAGAGAGAGAGATTTTATCTATGTAAATATTGAGTGTATGTCTCTGTGAGAATCAGTGCTTGTGTGTATGTTTGGTATGCACACACACATGTATGCAATACATGTGTGTACACAATAGAGATTGTGTGTATTATGGCAATGTCTGTCTCAGCTAACCCTCTCAGCAGGTCCTGACTGTCTCAGGTGTGGTAGTCATGACTGTACTGTGCACTGATTCATGACAGCACCTGTGAGTTGACACTGGCCACTCCTGCCCACCCCCACTCCTTGTCTTCACTCTGGGCCCATCTTCCTCTGCTGGCAGCTCTCTCCCACCTCCCATCCCCCATCCTGCCCTCTCACTTTCTCCAGGAGTTCCCCTTTCAGAGCTGTAACCCCACACACACCCCCATCCCCGTGCTCACCGGGGACCTGCAAGAGGAGCAGAGCAGAAGGCAGCCACACTCCCATCACTCCTGGGATCATTTCTTCAGCTCTGATGTCTCCTGCCCACACCAAGCCCAAGAGGAGGAGGCGTGGTCTCCTTCTAGAATGTCCAGTGTTCACATGCCCAGTTCTGCTTTCTGTCCTCTGCTTCCTGCTCCCCTGGGAGGCTTCAGATGAACTGGTATAGGAAGTGCTCTGAAGATGGTCCAGGACTCAGGGGTGCAGGTTCCTATCACTCCCAGTGAGGGACACATCCATGATCAAGGATTGAGGATGTCACCTGTCCCCCAGCCTTCAGCTAAGGGCTTCACAATCTTCCCACCTATGGCCAGCCTTTGAGAGCATTTCCTTTTTTGTCCTAGCTGTCCATCCTCTGTGATAAGCCACTTCCTGTGTGGATTTGAGGGCTGTCAATCTTATCTTGCTCCATCTCCGTGAGGAGAGGAACCACCTCCTTCACTTTTGTGAATCCATACCATATGTGCCTGTGTCACTCCAGTGAAAGCCTCTTTGAGTTTGTTGCAAATGTGAGGTTCTCGAACAATTCTGATGGATGCTTGGCCAGTCTCCTCTTTGCATCTTGGATCTTGTTAATCCTCCAGGGTGGTTGTAGCGATCACATACCCCGGTTACAGGAGAGGAATAATCACTCTTGATTCAGACTTGGTATAACACTCATTTATTCACACAGTAAGATTACAAGCACTATTCATCCTGTCTTCCAAATCGAAGCAGGAGTTCCTCTCCAGGTGTACAGGTCCAGACTCGCCACGTCTGTTCCTCTGGATCTTGGTCATCCTTCCTCAGGTCAGCCACGTCTGCACTGGGGACAGGATCTCACGTCTCTGGCGGAGGAGAGTTGTCTCGAGTGAGGGCCTGACGAGCTCTGTTGGTCGGGTCTGAGGCTTCATCTTTTATATTCTTTCCTGGCTGGGTTTCTAGTCTTATTCCTACTTCCAAAAATAGCTTATAGCTTATCACTACTCCATTCGTGGTTTGCTTACATCATTCTATTGCTTGTCACTCCTGACCAGGGTTGTTCACCCTAGGCCTTACATGTGTTCCTTACATTCCATCCCCTGATGCCTGAAATGTCTTCAACATAAAAGGCATCACATGAAGTCGCAGCCTGGGAATTTACAATATATTATCCTAACTTGTTAATCCTAGCATTCTTATCCTTCTCATTCTGGGTGGTTTATTTTTATGCTTTTTCTATATATATGTTTATATAACTTCAACCAAGTGCTATAAGCTGCAAATTCTTTTAACATATATATAACAAAATCTCTACACAATATTCTAGTACATATGCTTTGTAAATACATTGGTTCTCCTGTTTCCCACTGTGGGTCATTCAGGAAATTTTATCAATGCTTATTATTGCTTCATCAGGATTATGTTTTAGCCATGCTCTATATGTTTCATATATTCTGTGATTACCATGGCCCACATATGCTGCAGCTAAAGCGGTGCTTATAGGTAGGGCTGCATCCATGTTATTTCTGTGAATTT